GCTGGAAAAAGGAAGGTACCAACAGCCAGACAGGAGGGTAAGAGTACGAATGTGGAGGAGAGCAGGGAGGTGCATGTGGCAGGGTTCGGAGAGAGGAAAGGGAGGGGAGAAATGTAATTAAATTACAATTTCAAAATGAACAACAACAACAAAAAAGAGTATATGAGCAGTTACTTTGAGGAGGAAAGACAGTCAATGAGATCGCCTACAAAAAGGTTTTGAAAACTCTTCTGGGAGAGAGATAAACACCCACATCTAACAAATGAATGAATTATATATGAAATACATGCGATCTGCATGTAGGTATATGGTAATGACTAGGTGATTTCGAGATGAAAACAATAGAACTTTTAAAAGATGCCCTATTGGGGCTGGGAATGTAGCTCACTGGTAGCGTAGTTACCTAACATGAACCTGGGCTCTATCCTCTGTATTGGAAAAACAGCCATGGTAATCAGCAGTGCTGAAAGTATATTATAAACTGTACTTATCTATACTTGCTATAAGATATAAAATATGGAATTCAATAATGTGCTGATCCATTTTTACAGCGATATTTCCACCTAACTACTATCAAAGGCTCAATACTTGCTCGGGGGCAAGATATGTATCCTTGCTTCCAAATCCATTTGGAGATCAGTGTTCTTATTAACACCTTTTCTTTGGAGTTTTTAGTATAGATATTTCCCTCCCACAGTTTCTTCTCCCTCATCCTTCTATATAAGCACACAGATATCCTTTAGACATTTGTATTCAATCATTATACTGAGATTGCTTTGATTGATCAAAATTAAGTGTAAACACGTTGGGGTTATAGCTCAGTGATAGGACACTTTCCTGGCACACGTGATCCTTTGGGTTTGTTCCCCAATACTAAAAATGTATAAATAGGTTGGAGAAATGGCTCAGAGGTTAAGAGCACATGCTGATCTTCCAGAGGACCTTCGTTCTGTTCCCAGCACCCTTATCAGGCAGCTGTTTCATAACCACCTAGTTCCAGCTCCGGGGATCCCATGCTTCTGGCTTCCAAGGGTACCTGCACTCACATGCACATGTGCATATGCACCCAAAACACACCTATACATAATTTGAAATAATAAGAACAAAACTTTAAAAAGTGTAAGAAAAAGTCACTATCCACTGGGCACCTAGCAGTTTGGACTGGGGCTTAGTGAGTACTTGCAGTTTATTTTGTTTGTTTGTTTGGTTTTTTGTTTGTTTGTTTGTTTTTTGAGACAGAGTTTCTCTTTGTAGCTTTGGAGCCTGTCCTGTAAGTCACTCGGTAGACCAGTCTGGCCTCAAACTCACAGATGTCTGGCTGCCTCTGCCTCCTGAGCGCTGGGATTAAAGGCGTGCCGCCACTGCCCAGCATACTTGCAGTTTCTAAACCTAATAATTCATTTAACACTACATAGAGATGCAGTCTCATTCTAGCCCTGTCAAAAACAGCCTGCGGTTTCTGAGCTATTCACTTTCAAGAGAGGTAGCCAGATGTTCCTACGGGAACATCAGGATAAACTAGGACTCAATTTAAATGATAAGTTCTTTAGCCTCTCTAAAGTTTGTGTTATCAGATTCTCTGCGTTTGGACTCCAGGAATATGTTAAACAAGTTCTCCCATTGACTGGGATAATGAGTCAAGTTTGAGAACTGAACATCTACTGCATTCAGGGGTGCTGCCAGAAATAAGACCCCCAATATTTGCTCACACGCACTCATCTGGTAGTCTACAGAACTGAAAACCACCCTTAGAGAAACTAAGGCACCAACACTTCTTACTTATGAAAGTGTAAGAGTGTCACACCCATGGAGAAGACAAAAACCATTTTCAGGACAGCATTCCTGTGTGGACACTTCATCCCCAGATGTACACAGCTAGTCAAGGAAGCTGCTCTGCCCCACAACTCAGTAGTGGCATAATTTGAGAGGGCTCTTGGCACAACTGAACCAAGAAAAGTTCAGCTCTGGTGTGTTCCCATTTTATCAAAAGAATCTTGTTAATACTTAACATTTGCTTTGAGGGATTCTGCGGGTCTGTCAGCTTCAGTCTGTGGAGCCTCGAGTTCTCTTCCCCTTAATAAATAGCCCTGCCTGCTTGGAGCCTATATAGCATGTGGCCTGGAACACACCCAACCAGAGATCCCCTGACCCCCACCAGGTGATATAGATGACTTAGTCTTGGTGATCATATAACAGCCATGAGTATATGCATATGCTTTCTGGCTTAGTTCAGCCATTCCCAGGGGATGGCCGACTTCACGCTCTCATAAACTAGACGGGAGCTGGGAGCAATCAGGCCCTTAATGGCCAAAACAGAAAGGGACTGCATCACTGAGCACCTCTTGACAGCTCGGGCCTTTCCTCCTGAATGATAATGACACAAAATGTCCTCCCCCTACTGTGTGGTAGGTATGTGCATGAGCACACGCTTCCATGTACACATACCTAAAATGTAGTAGGCATGAAAGCCTGAAATAGCCATGCAATTTCAATTCAGTATGTCTTTGCAAAATCCTAATGGTGCTTTTAGAGTGAAAGTCTCGATGGGGTCTGCTGGGGACAAAGTAATATGGCAGAAAGAATATTAGATTGCAGCAGGAGAATACCTTGGATTCTGCTTCTGGCTCTTTTATTAGCGAAATAACTTTGGGTATGCCTCCCGAGCCTTTATTTCTTCATTTTCAAATGAATGGGATTAGACTAGCTCATTTCTCAGCCTTTCCGGTATTCACTTCCCAGTACAATGTTCACTATGGTGGAATGGATTCTCTTGCGGGTCCATCTACCTACCAGTGCAACTGTGACATGTCAAGACTTCAGAAGTCCTGGGAACTTAGAAACGTCTGCCACCTGACAAAGGTCCCTGCATAAAGCAGATGTTCAGTGGTCACATACTCAACCTGCACGTCCAGACCGCATCAAAAGAGTATACTTAGTTTTCTTCCTTAACTGTTTCTTTTTTTTTTTTTTGCTTGTTTTTGGATACAGGGTCTTAGATTAAGTACTCTCAAACTCCTGATCCTCGTGTCTCAGTCCCGAGTACTTGGGCTACGGTATGTGGTACTTCTACACACCCCTACTTCATTGCTTTTGTGTTTAAGAGCACTGGGGGGAGAAAACTGGCTTTCTAGATCCATTATGCTATCGTCAAACAAATTGCATAGATTCCCTTTAAATACTCATAATATCTTGCCCTTAAAGTAGTCTTATTTTCCTCTTACTGTAGACATTCTCACACTCCAATGCCCATTGGTTGGTGTTGGACACACAGCGGGCACTCAGTCATTGTTGGCGAACAAACATAGGAAAGCTCTTGGTTGGTGTTGAACACACAGTGCACACTCGGTCAATGTTGGCGAAAGAACATATGAAATTCCTTGGTTGGTTTTGGGCATACAGTGGGCACTCAGTTAATGCTGGCGAATGAACATATGAAAGCCCTCACTTTTCATTTTTCTAGTTCTGTGCAATTGACTTTTGCATAAGGCCCCAGAATCTGGCCTCAAATTATAAAGCAGTCAAGGGAATAATTAGCCATCGAAGAACATCATCGTTACATAGGGCATTTCTGTTCATTTTACTATAAAATATTTTCTCAGCAAATGGGTTTTAAATGGCAGCACTTGTGAATGGGGCATTTAGAGCAGCTCCATAAGTAGCCACGCCAAGGGTTGTATCATTTCTGTCCCCCTCCCTAGTTTAATTCACCAAAGAAACCAATTACCTCTATCACTTTGTATTTCCAGAGTTTAAAGACAAGGCTAACTATAACTAGCCCATGCTGCCCTCTACATTCCGGATAAGCAATGGCTCAGAGTACACAGCAATACAGTTGGGAGAAGCTAAGAGTAGGAGTCGGCAAGGCCAGCCAAACCTGGGTTTGAATCCCAGCTCCTTCCACCAAGAAAGTTTGGAGATCTTGGGAAGTACTTAAACTCTCTAAGCTTTAGCCCTCCTGTGTGCAATGGGTGCAATATTGAGACCCATTGCATGGATGACTCAAATAGATTATGATGCACGCTGGCCAACAGAGCACCCGACATGTAGCAGGAGCTCAATAATGATAGAGTATTTTACTGTTCTGCCACATCCTCCTCCGAGGCTGGGAGCAGTTAGGGATCAGTCATTGTCTTAAAGTGATAGAGCTGGAAGTTCGTGGCTGTATGTTCTCCTCTACATCAGAAGTGGCTTTCTCTTCTGGTTCTATGACAGACTCTCCTAGAAGTCAGGCAAGCTGCTACCTCCCTTGCAGAACTGTTCTACCACCACAGATCCCTGAAGTCTTAGACTGGCATAATTAAGGCTGCAAATGTGAATGTAGGGGAACACGGATGTTCTGTTTTTCTTATGTCTTTGTTTGAGTTTAGTTAGTAGGCACTAGTTGAGTCTCTTAAAGTCGCTCTTCAGAATGGTAATGTGATACACGTGAAGACCACAGAACAAAATCAGAATAAAAGGTGACAGCAACTGAACCAAAATTCCAGGTTCTGAATCATCATACATCCTCCACTAACTATGTAACTGGGTGTGCAACATGCAGTTTCACTACGATCCACTTTCCTTGCTTATAGGAGAAAGGAATATCAGAATATTAACATAAGTATCCTGATAACAAAAATAACAGCTAACATTTACTTAAGATTTACTATCTACCACACGGATGCTAAGTGTCTACATGCATGCTATTCTCTTTACTTGAGTTAAAAAAAAAATAAGACTCATAAAGATAAAATTAGTTTCCAATACTCTACAGCAAAGAAATGTGTGTTGTTAGAACTCAGAGCCTGGTATTGTGACTGTGTAGAGCCTGGTATAGTGACTGTGTGCCCTGTAGTTTTAACGTGCAGCTTATCCCTGTGAGTTCCTTCAGCCCATGTGCCATCCTCACTTGCTCGTTGATTTTCTTTCTCTATTGTTCTATCAGTATCTGCTGCTGGGGCGGTCAGCCCACCCACCATAATGAAGGACAGCCCCTTAGAAAATGGAAGACCAATACTTACAGTGGTGGTCAGCTTGCCTCCATTCTTCTGCACATACTGGATGGAATCATGGATCGTGGAAAAGAGTCCAAGCAGCACGTTCTCCATGTCGTAGATTCTGTACATGCCATTCACGAGTTCCTCAAGAGACAGAATGTATTCTCTCCAGTACTTGTCGATCTCCACCACACCTGCCATACAGCCTTGCATGACCACGTTGCAGTAACCGCCACAAGGCTTCACCATCATCAGTCCCTGGCAGTAAGAGCAGTACCACATTCTGGTGAGCATGCGCCCACAGTCCTTACTGAACTTGAGGTGATCGGTGGTGTTGATGACTTCAATGCCAAGATTCAGGGCTTGAAGGAAGATTCTGGTGACTTGCAGTGACTTGGAAACCTGGGTCATAATAAGCTTGGGGAAACTGCCGAATACTTTCAGGTCACGCCTTGCTCCTCGGAGGCACTCGTTGATGTCCAATACTGACTCAGGCAGCCCTGGGTTCATCATCTGGGTGTAGATGACTGGAAAGAGGCTGTCGAACAATTCATTGACCATATCATCCACGTTGATATCAGAACCCAAAATGTAGAGAGACACATCAGTGAAAAATTCACCCACAAAATCAAAAGCTTGTGGAGTCAGGCTGGGGTAGTTGTTCTTGAACATGGCGTTGGTGTAGTTCTTGGCATGACGAACAACGATTTCAAAGGCCTCTGTAAAACAGAAGAAAAAAAAGATATGTCCACAAATTAAAGCATGAAATCCAGGGTATAAATGAATTTGATGTTTCTGTTGCTTTGGTCATTAAGGTCCATTTGCTTTAAATAATTGAATCGCATTCATAGCTGGCATTAACTATAGTCCTGCAGTTGTTTGCTCCCATAAATCACTTTCCCTTTCTGCATGTGAAGTCCAAAGTTTGATGTGCACATAAATTCTTAAACACACAAATTGTATTTCAAATGACAACAGCCAGGATTCAGTTAACATTTCAGTCTTTCATGACAATATTGATTAAAAATTGGCTAAATGAGAAGTTATTTCTCTTTCTCTCATTGATTCATTCAGTTAAAAAGAAATTGCATTTAAGGACATTTCATTTTCAGACAGAGATAAATATTTGACAACAGATTATATACTGTATAAACTCATAACAATTTGAGCCTGTTCAAACCCAGAGGAGAGGCAAGTTATTGCTAAGAACAAAAGATAACCCAAATTCAATCATTTTGGGGAGACTTTCCCCAGATAACTTTAAAGGGAGTTATCTGACAGACTACTAGACCTGGAAAAGGTATTTATCCACTGAACGGGTATCTGGGTGGGAAAAACAACCCATGCACTTACCTATACATTTGGTAGTGACAATAACTACAAGTTGAACATCTGGGAGGATAACTGCTAAGCTTCCTCCGTAAGTTCAGCTTCCACATGGCTTGGAAGCCCCATTCGGTCTACAGAGACCACGAATTCAAGATTACATCTGCTGCTTCAGGCCCTTGGCAAGAGCCCAATTAGTGTCACTACTTTGAGAAAGTAGTAATGTTGTGCCATCCCATTTTCCCAAAGCCAAAATATTCTAGATGCAAATTATTCCGAATAACCAGAGTACCATATATATGTGAAAAGGGGAAAAAACACCCAAGATGTTTTTAAAAAAAGAAATAAAAGAGTTTAAAAAGAAAAACATAGCCAAGTTTCCTCATATTTAACATTGGTCCTTTCCGCTCCTTCTAAGATGCTAAGGTCCATGACAGGTGTGCTCTAAACAATGCCAGTTCATGAGCCTTGAAAAATCAAATGATTACTACCTTCAGATGGCTAGAGAGACCGTATTCCATGGGATCAATTAGGCCCACACTTCAGTCATCTGTGGCAGAAGGGAGCTCTAGGCTGAACAACTGCCATCTGTCCTAGATCCCTCACAAGATAGAACTCGCTCCCCAGGCTCCTCCCTGGGGCTCGTCTCATACCCAGCCATGCTGGAGTGGTGCCAGTGGAATTCTAAAGCGCTTTCAAGCCCACTAGAGACCAGAAATAAATGAGAAATGAGAACGTAGCCAACTACCAAAGGTTTGGAGAACATGTGGACTGGCGATTGGTCTGTGGGAGACTTTTGCACCACTGGGAGGTACCAGTGTTTGTTGATTCCTTCCATTTTGTAACTCTGTGACCCAGAACAAATTTTCCCTTTCCGTCAATCACTACACGCTCACTTGTTTGTTTTCTTTCGTTTGGAACATCAAGTGATTCTTAGACACGTTATCTTACAACAACCTTCTTAGTTCCACTCGTTACTTTCTGCTCCATCCTTGAATCTAAATCTTGAATGAAGCTATGTGATCATCTAGTCCAGTCACTCAATCCTTTAAAACCATCAGAAAGTCTGATATTTTAAATTATGTATTCATTTTTACTTTAAGTAGACATATATTATTTATTAGGCTATGCTAGGTGCTATGAATATGTCTGCTAGATGGAGATTAATGATATACCACCCTTGTCTCAGAAATATTCACAAGTGGCCAGGCACAGCGGCTCACTCATAGAATTCCAACATCTAGCAAGCAGAGGCAGGAGAAGTTCAAGGCCAGTGTGATCTACACGGGGAATTCCAGATTCAGCCAGAGTTACACAGTGCAACCCTATTTCAAAAAGAAATGCTTAGGAGTCTTTATAGTGCAAAAATTCCAAGCCATGTCCAAGAGTATCATGACAGCTACATTTTACAAGAACCAGCTGAATTTGGTACTATCAACCCGGATTTAACAGATGATGAAACTGAGTCTCAGTAGAATGGCCATATTTCCCCAAGGTCACACAGTGGCGCAGGAGAAGGAATCAGTTCCAACCAGTGTCTCTAAGTGGCAGTTACACCCCAGCTGCCCTCAAACTTGCAGTCTATACACATTCTCTTTGTACAAAGTTAAGCCCTTTTTTTCAAGTCATCATTTTCGCATCGGCTTTCTCATCTCTGAATGAAAATGTACCAGAAGAAATTGAAAACCGAAGACCAATAAAGCAGAGCAGCACTTTCACCTTGGCCTTGGGGCAGCATGAAGTAAGAGAAGGGAAAAGACTGCTTCACAACCGGGTTACCCCTGCAGGTCTCAATCATCCAGGCTGCTCTAGGAATTCTCTGTGAAGAGAATTTTACCTGGATTGTGGTGTTCTCATTCTCTAATACACAAGATACATGACAGGAAAAGCCCACAGATCCTCCTGCCAATAACATTCCTTTTTGAAAGTTCTGTGACTAGCACTCACTGCTGGATCAATAGAAAGAGGAAATTACAAAAGATCATGAACTCATCTAGAGAAACAACAACAACACATATAGCAGGGGGAAAGGGCTGGAGACCATAGTGAACATCACGCTCGAATGTATTTTCTACAGCAGCGTCTACAGCTCAAAATGAACAGGGCACATCTCTGGAGTTTGCTCAGTCCCCTTGCTTCTGTATCACAGGACAGCAGACCAAAGCAAAAGGGCTCAGGGAAAGGTTTTACTGGGTCTCAGGAAGCAATACTAGGTGAAAAGAGATGCTTGGCCTTCTTCTGTCACTTGAGGGCTTGTGAAATAAAGTCAAGGGCAGAAGTAAATGCAAGGAAGTATAAGTCCATTGATAACGTGGTCAGATAATCAAGTATACTTTAGAGAGAGGTGATTTTCCTCTTTCCTCCAACGATGTAAAGAGTTATGTCCAGTCAACAGTAGAGTAAATCTAGTGGAATCGGTTATCAGGAGCAATTCCTCATCAAAAACATTCACTGATTTTATAATCTACAGATGAAAAGAAATGGATTTAATAAGCTGAGATATGCCCACATACAGAAAAGTTCCATTTTCCTCTTTATTGTTATTAGATTTTTATTGATTGATTGATTGATTGATGTGTGTATGTGTACACACACACACACACACCATGGCATGTTGTGGAGATTATAGAACAACTTATGGGAATCAGTTCTCCCAGTCCACCACGTGAGTTCCAGGGATCAGGATCAAACTTAAGTTTTCAGACTTGGCAACAGGCTTCGGCATCTCACTAGCCCAATCCCTAGATATCTAAATGTTCCTGTCACCATCCCTATCACTACAGATGCTAATGTTGCCTTGCCAATGTTCTCCTTCCAGCTTGATGCGCAATGACAGACAATTTTCCAGACACAGTTTCATGGGAGAAGTGTATGGATTCTCTTTAAATAGTTCAATAACTTCTTCTACTTACTTCCCCTCAAGATCTATCGTTGACCACTGCAGCCGAATGGTTGCCCTTAGTATATGGTGCTGGTGTTCCTGCATTCATATCTACACTAAATAAAATGGGCTTTTATGTGCCTTCTTGGTAGTCAGCTGAGTATTTTTTTAAAAAGAAAATGAGAATATACTTGGGACTGAAAGACAAGAAAAATATATGAACCATGGAATCCTTTTCAAGGTCTGTAGAGTAAGCAATTGTTATAGAAACCAGTTCCTTTTTTCAAGGCAGTTTTTCCAGCACTGCAAGGATGTCCACTACTATATGAGAACTTTTTCCCCTGTTCCTAGGATGAATACTGCATAATGGCTTGGACTGAACACAGGTTTTATTTTCAAGTACAAGTACTTGGATGGACAAGGAAAACGAATATTTCCCGGGCGTCTGCAAGGTCCGTGCCAGAACCCACGGCACACATGTTTCTATATTCTTATGCATCAATGACATAAACACATGTGTTTGGTGAGGAAACTGAGGCTCGGAGGCTATAGGACCCATACAGGTAATATTTCTAGTTGAATTCCAGGGTCTCAGTTTAAAAGCAAAGACATTTAATCTTGATTAATCGCTAGAGGCTGAAATATTAAAATAAATTGCCACTACTAATTCTGCAGGAAGAATGTAAAAGAAGATGGGAGGGAGGGAGGGAGGTGTCAATGATAAAGAAAGAAGATAAAAGGTTTTTTTTCTGTTTCTTTTTCCTAATTGATCAATATCTCTCAGAGGAAGGACACATTCCCTAGAATTAGTGAGACACTGGAAAAAAATCCAATGTTCCATTAGATGAATGAATGAATGTATAAATAAAATATAATAGTAACAAAAACAACAGCCTTCTTAGAAAATGGGCAAAATATCTGAAGAGCTACATCACCAAAGAAGATTCGTAGATCCCAAGCAAATAGAGAAAAAAGATGCTCAATATCATATATCGTTAGGGACTTAAAAATTAAAGTAGTAATGCATGCCATTGTGCAGGCAATAGAATGGTTAAGTCATACAACTGACAACAGCAAACTCTGTGAGGTTATCAAGCAGTGGTTCTCAACCACCTGAAAGCTGTGACCCTTTAATACAGATATGGTGACCACAGCCATATGCGGTGGCGACCCCAACCATAACATTATCTCCACTGCTACTTTATAACTGTGATTTTGCCACTGTTATGAACCGTAATGTAAGTAGCTGTGTTTTCTCATGGTCTTAAGCAACTACCCTGAGGGTTGCGACCCACAGGTTATGAACCTCTGGTGTAGCACAACAGCAACAGACACCCTGGAATATCTGGTGGGAACACAAGATGATACAACCACTTTAAATGATAGAGAGGCAGTTTCTTATAAAAACAAAACATTTTTATCATGTTATCCAGACACTGTTCTTCCCTTCTCACCTACTTGATTTTTCTTTCAAATTCAAATCCGTTTTAAGTAAAGGCTATGAATTTTTGG